CTTCACAGAAGAATCTCTCCCACAAGCTCAGATTCATCTGCATTTGTTGTGCGGATTGTATCTCCGCAATCTAATTGCATCTTTGATAGCTTTGGATAGAGAGCGAGAAAGCTCAACCCTAGCTCTGGCTCAGCTGGCTTGCGTTTACCTCTGCAATATCCTTCTTCTATCTTGATCCTAATCTCTTCCAGATTCAGACAGTATTGGTCTAAAAAAAATCTCCAACACTGATCCATGGAGACAAATGCTCAAGTTTCTCCCATACTTTGTCTTCAGAACAGAACCCATTCCCATCACTGCTTGGAAACGGTGAGCAGTGTTCTTCCTCCGCTGAAGAATACTTGCACCTCTTATGGCTCCTCTCGTCATTATTCCTCACTCCACACTCCAGAAGCTCGTATTGGTCATGTGAGAGAGGTCTCTTCTTTGGCCTTCTCTCAGCAAGCACCAAACTTGTGTGCAAAGAAAGAAACAGAGCATTTTAAGACAGAGCGTTTGTGTGTCATCTCTTTCTTATTCAACTCTCTTTATTGGTGGTATAGGCAATAAACAATGTGGTTTTCGCACTCCTGCAACCTAATTCAAATGATGCAGGTCTTGTTAATATTGATATGAACCTATGATTGGCTTGATTAGGACCGGAACCTCACGGTAACACACAACCTAGGAAACTTTGGAGGAGTTGGTCTCTTGCTTACGATAGTGACTGGTCTATTTGGAATCAACGTAGATGGGATATCAGGAGCTAAAGATTACTCACAAGCCTTTGCGCTTTTCTCAGCGATTCTTTTCTTCTCGGGTTTGGTGTTAGTGGTCGCAGCTTTGCTCTACCTTGGACTCAAGGAGCCAGAGGCAGATGAGAATGTGGAAAATAGGAAACTAGAACTTGACGAAATGGTCAAGAAGTTTCAACGAGAAGCTGAGTCTCATGCTCAAGTTTGCCAAAAAGTTCCTCAGAACTTGGAACGCACGGCCAAAGCAGCAGAGAAATATGTGAATCTTTACTCTTTAGTCAGACCAGATAAATTCGGTCTATGTTTGTAAAATTTTTGAACATTTAATCTTTAAAAAATCGTGAATTCTTTTCTACTGAATATACAGTATTTTGATATACTTGTAATATTGAAGCAAGGTTCAAACCTAAATGTTTCATATTGGTGACGCAACCATTGGCACTTAGTATGCAGTTTCCTTCTTGCGAAATCTGACAAAGTCTCACAACTGTCATTACCGGAGCTGATTTGAACGACACTGTGCTCTGAGGGAGTTTGGACTGTCGTGAGTCACAGTAATTGTGTGTCTTGAGTTTGTTCTTGGAGCCAGCTGGTCTGCCTCGTGGCCTCTTAACCATCTCTCGTTCGATTGATGAAACGCTTTCAGTTTTGTTGTTGCTGCTGCTGTTGTTATTGCCTCTCTCTGCTGCTTCATGGTTCCTCAATGGAAGTGACTTTGATCCTACAGAGGTTGGAGTCAGAGCTGAGCCTCCAGCCATTGTTATGAAAGTGTTGAGATTTCAACTAAGATTTTATGGGTTTAACCGTTTAAGTAAGGAGATGTTATTATATGATATGGTAGAGACACCAAAAGAATGATTGTGAAGAGTAAAATATCTTTAAGCTGTCACCAAACTTTTTATTGCTTACTCCACACTCCAGAGGCTCTTATTGGTTATGTGAAAGAGATCTCTTTTTTTGGCCTTCTCTCAGCAAACACCAAACATGTGTGCAAAGAAAGAAACAGAGCATTTTAATGTCTCATATCTTTCTTATTCAACTCTGTTTAGTGGTAGTATAGGCAATAATGAGGCAATAAAGTATAAACAATGTGGTTGTCGCACTTTACTTGTTTGATTGTGTAGCGTATAAAATGGTCACTCCAAAACTTTGATGAACTCATGACACACATTAAATCATCCAAACAGAAAGCATTAGACTGGAAGTTTTAAGATTGTCATTATAGCAAAATTACATGTTGATGTGTTTACTTATTCATCTCAAGACCTAGATTTTACATGAAAATGGCGGTAAATGAACAGAGACACTAGGCCAATTGTGGTAAGCAAGACCTAAACCAAACTTGACGAGAAACAACTCCACAATGTCTTTATAGTTTACCATCATTTTTAGTGAATAAAATCTATTAATTCATATATAAACAGTACAAAAGTTGCACAAACTATGAAGATGTGGTAAAACAAATTTTGATTTCAGCTAAACAATATTTGACATTTGTTAATCTTAGACTCTATTGGGAAGTTCTTGATGTTTAACATTGAAAAATTGGCCAATGGTGTAGATAGAATCCACGTATGGTGCATCTCATTGACCAATGGTGTAGATAGAATCCACCTACTTTTGCTAACGTGAAGATCATATGCGACCAAGGTTAGCTTTGTTTCTTTTTATTTTGTATGTAACGTCATAACTATTGAGTCGAAGACAGACAGCGACCTGCTAGCTTCGGTTTCGTGTAAGTTTATGCAATTTTTGTTGTTGTTGTGCATGTTTGTGTTTACTTTTTGGAGTTTATGCATTTTTTTTCTTTGTAACAGGTTTAACTTCATTCGCAAGGCAAGATTTGGAAGAAGTTAAGATTTATCGGTAAGTAGAATTCCAGTATAAAAATATTATTTTGTATTTAATTTTTATTGGTTTAAGTATTGTAAACTATTTGTCAATTTTTTTTTTGCAGTGTCAACAGCAGCTGGCATCACGAGTTTAATAGATTGTCTCTAGACTGTAGCTTTTAAAACAATACATATGTTATTTTAGAACTTTTGTGTCTGGCGATGAAAAAAGCAAGGATAGTGGAACTTATCTTAGTATATATGTTTTGTCTGGTTATGGTCAATCTATTAACTAATGGCATTCAATTAAAATATGGTTAGAATTTGGATAAGTTTAGTAGTGCTAACGGAAGGACAAATTTCTTGAAATCAGAAGTATGGTCAATTCATGGATTATTCAAGCTACTTTAGCAGTTAAAAGGAAATAAAACCAAGGAATTGCCAGGAGGGTTATAAGAGCACCGTCGATCTGATCAATGATTAGATGCCTCGTGCATAGTTACAGGTGGAATAATTCACACTCAATATTGATATGTTTTTATTAACTAAATATAAAAATTCACCCTACTTTTTAGTTTTTATCTTTGTGAAAAAATACAACAGCCTCACTGTTTTTGTTGGTACCATTCTGTGACACCTGGAATGGAACAGATGTTTCAACGGGATTTCCATTCATAGGTACTATATCCTATAATTTTTGCTGTCTCTCTATTAAGATATATTGTGCAAAGTCTTCCACATCTCAATTGTAAATCATCATTTATTTCTTCTTTGCTTAGGTTACTTGTCCAACAATCTTTAAGCATCAAATTTGTGAGATGATAACAGAGACATATCTATCTATCTTGTGACTTTGTTTGTAGTTGTTCTGTTTCTTGGAGCGTGGAAAAAGGTTCCTTGTATCATCATCATCTCTCTATTCGACCAACGAGATACACAACTAAAGATACTTCTCGATATTTGCAGGTATTTCATTTCTGCATTGAATACTTGTCATTTTAGATTTTCACCATATCAAATCAACATCTTTAGGTATAATTAGATCAGGAAAACTTAGAACCAGAGTCCGGAGATTTACGTGATAATTTTGAATGTTTCGAAGGGAAAGAGTGCGATATCTTTAGCTTCGGTGTTATAATGTGAGAGCTCTGCACTCTATCTAAGCCCTGGGATGGAGAGTTCCAAAACAACAAGTATGTCTCGCTGAACAAGAACAAACAAGACTTGCTTTACTTAAACAAAAACGTCGAATCCAAAATTTCCGTTCTTGCAATTTTGTTTTTCAGGTCATTGATGCTGGCTGTTGCAAACGACGGAGCCCAGCTTGAAATACCACCTCAAGGACCGTCAAGCAAAGCTTATTAGAGGTTTCCGTGTGTTTGAAGCAAACGAAAGCAGGGCTTTTTCCATTGTTTTCTTGGCTCTGTTATCATGGATTTCGTCTGGTTTTTGACTTTTGAGCAAATTGTTTCAGTAGTTAAGTCTTTAGTGCTCTATATTCCTAAGTTGTGTTTTGAACCAGATGTTTACATGGGGGAATCAAAATATCGAAACTTACTATCCCACAAAATCTACTCAGAAATGACAATGCAGTACTACTCCCAGTGTTCATGCGGTGAAACAGCATTTATAAAAGCTCTCCAACGCTGATCCATAATCAAGTTTATCCCATACTCTGTCTTCAGAACAAAACCCATTCACATCGCTATCCCATACCATAAAACAATATTCATTTATAACCCGTAGGTATACAAGAGTATTCACCAAGCAATGATAGAAAAACGAAGCAAAAGAGTACCATAACAAAAACTAGAATCAAGACCTAGACGAACCAGCAAAATATCGGAAAATGAGTAGAGACACTAAGCCGGTAAGCAGTGGGAATTTGATCCAACTAAACTTTCGGTCTATCTTAGACACGTGATCTTGATTGTGTACCAGGTCTTGATACTGAAACCCACATCTGCACTCTGACGTCTCTGAACCAACAGACGGACGAAGCGAGACAACATTCTCAACAAAACCAGACACGACACAGATCTCTCTAGCGATGCAACGAACCACGTCTGTCTCTGGTTGATATCTGAAGAGCCTCTTCTCATTGTCATGGAAGAAAAAATTCCCTTGCTTACAAACACCCACAGGCCTGAACCAGACATTCCACGGTAGACGGGAAGTGACTCCACAGTTGGCTAAACCTATGGAGTAAGCCATGCTCCATGTTTCCACTTGTTCATCTATGATCAATATCTCTACTTTCCACTCAGGCTCTGTATATGGTGTGGCTATGGCTAGGCGGTCTTCAAGGTTCACTAGCTGGTTCGCTTCGTAAAGAATCGGCGGAAGAGTGACATCGCGAAACTCTTCGGTGTGAAGATCCAACGCTAGTAGATTGTGACTTGCCCTTACTTCTAACCAGTAGACAGAGCCTCTGGCAAATGCTGACTTCCTTCTTGGTTCCACTTTGTAAGGAGGCGGATTCACTTATTGTTTGTGGAGAGCATTCCAGACAAAAAAAAAATATGGCCATAACTTATTCTCATTCTCTCCTTGAATTTTAATTCGGCCATAATTCCACCACCAACAAAAATCCTTATGGAGAATCATTGTGGTGAAAAATACAGACAGAATAAAGTTTTTACAATCATAATCATTGTGAAAGAAACTCATATTTAATCTTTCTCTTTATTTTTTCGAACACAATTCAAAAAGCAAGTTAGTATTGAGACGGCCAGATGTGCTTGGCTTTATTCTTAAAACGGCATGTTATAATTACTTTATTAACATAAACGGCACGCAACATAGGTTTATGTGGGCGTCTGGTCTGAACCGAATGGAACCGAACCCACCGAAAATTCGCATTCGGTTTTGACTTTTAAACCGATGGGTGGTTTTTATACAAGATCCCGCTCGGTTTGGTTCGAGTTTAAACTGAAAATCGAATCAAAATGAAAAATAATTCATGTATAAATAAGAAACCCTTGTTTCTCATAGTGTTTCCGCAGAACAAACCTTTCTCCCTTTCCTCTCCCTCATCATCACGCACAAATATGTAGATATTCTCTTCTCGCCAGCCATCGTACGTTCAATCTCACACTTCTTTCTGGCCGCCGCCTACGCCGATTTATTTTACGTTTGGTAAGATCTCTTAGCTTTAGCGTTAGGGTTTTGAATCCGCCTTCCGTTTTTCCCCTTTTCCATTCAACTCATTGATTTGGTTGATTTGATCCATCTCTCATCTCTGCATTGACTAAGGTATTAAGTTGTTTCCATAACCGTTGATTAAGGTTGATTAGGTTTGTCTCCATAATGATGCTTTGCATTGATTAAGGTTTTATGCTTTGGCCGGATTTTCTTTTTCTCGTATCAGAACTGAAACGCCATTTGCAACAGTTTCATAATTCTCTTTTGTCCCTTGAACTAATGTTATCTCTTTTTTTTTTCCAGGAGAAACAACATATGGCTAACATTAATGGTATCTCCAACCCTTTGATGATGGAGTTAATAGACCGCACTAATAGTCTTCTGAGAATAGGACGAGATAGATCATATTTCCTACTATTGCAATATGAATGGAACGAGGATCGGCTTAGAAGTGAGATCTCACACCTTGGGGCAGCTGTCTTTATAAACAACTCTGTTGCCGAGCCTCTAACAGAAAGTCTTGATGTAAGTTCTGAATTTTTTTATATGGGGTCCTAAAATATATATATATATATATATTTTTTAATGATTTAATTAAAATAGATCAAATGATAAATCTGAACAAAAATAAAACTATTGTTCTCTGGTTTGTTAGTTTATATACCAAACGGGGTCCATTGGCGATTAATTTTTGCTTTTGTTTATTTTTGGGGCTTTTATTTTGTAGCTTAGTTGTTTCTGTATATTTTAAAACCCAAAACCCGAAAAGAAATTAAGATGACAACATTTTGATTAAAAGATAATTATGACAAAAGGAATCATCGTATGTCAAGAAAATAAAGCATTATAGAAATCTAAGCAGAGAAAATTAACCATTACTAATGCTATCTGAGTAAAACGTCACTAATGCTTCATAGTTGGTCACTTTAGTCTTTCTAACAAAATTATCTTGTTAGGAAACTTGTGTCCGATGTATGTCGTATGCTAGGTGCGAGACTCTCAATTGTCATCATGTCGTTTGCCACAAGTGCCTGGAGGGTTAGTTTACATACAATTATTCTTTACTCCCTCTGTTTCAGTTTATAAGGGGTTTTAGGAAAAAAAATTTATTGCAGAATAATTGTCTCTCACGATAATCTAGACTAAAATTGCCACTACATCACATTTTTACCCTTCTCTTATTCAATGTGGAGAAAACTTTTTAGTGGTATAATATTGAAATAAGTAATAGAAGATGAGGTTATAAGAGGTATTTTAGTTGCTTCCTTAATTATTATGAAAAAACCTAAAATCCCTTATAAACTGAAACAGAGGGAGTATATATCTTCAGTTCAGTTGGCGGTTTATATGCGTTAATTAATCATGTTTTTTCTTTCTAAATCTCTTTTAGGTTGTGTTCTAGGGCAGGTTAATGCAAGGATTCTGATCCTTTCTTGCCCTAATGAAGAGTGCAACCGCTACTTGAGCCCGTCCTCACTGGTGTCTCTCCTTCCTGCTGAGCTGGTCAAAGAGTACACACAACTGGTAATGAGGGACTTCATTGCCCGGACGAGTGTACATAGACCTCATCCCATTAAGAAAGGTACTAAGAATCTTTTAAAATTATGTATTATCCTTTATGCGTTATGAAAATGATTAAAAATCTGTTTTTATTAGGTCTTCTCTTTCTTTGGAACAATAAGAGAGAAATTTTTGACTGTGGAGTAATAGGCGTAATAGGTGTAATAGGTAGTGGCGCTGTTGTTGTTCTCAAGTTTGATAAGTGGCGCAAGAAGAATCCTCGCACATTCTCCGACATTATGTTTATATGCAACCTAAGTAATAGTTTGTTTCTTTTTCTTGTCCCAATTCATTTTCTTATAGTCAGAACTCAGAATCAGACTTACTAATTATTTTCTATGTCTTTTTATAACAGTTAAAGATGGACAAAGTCCTGCTAGTTTCAGTTTCTGGTATGATTATGCATTTTATTATGGGCTTATTATTGTCTTTGTGCATTTTTATGTTTATTATTGCGGAGTTTATATATATGTTTTTTTTGTAACAGGTATAACCTTTTTTTTGGAAGACGAAATTTGGAAGAAGATAAGATTTGATCTTTGATTTGTGGTAAATAGAATTCCAATATAAAAATATTTTATGTGCTTGTTTTTCATTGATCTAACCCTAAACTATTTGTTTTGTCGTTTCAGCTTAATACAAAGCAGATGGCATCACAAGTCAAATATTGCATTTTGTTTGCCTTAATCTAGATTGTCTCTAGTTCTTAAATCTTTGGGCTTCAGAGTTGTAAGTATTGCATTATGTTAGTATTTCTATGCGAAGTGGAGACATAAACATCCCTTATATTATTTTATATAACTTTTGTGTCTGGTTATGAAAAAATTAAGGTTACTGGAATTTAGTATTTCTATGCTTAGTGGAGACATCACTTATCTTAGTTTATTTTAGTTTTTTGTCTGGTTATGATCAATTTTATTAACTAATGCTATTTAATTAAAATATGGTTAGAATTTGGGAAAGTTTAGTATTGCTTTATGCAAGGACAATTTTAGAACCACTACAATTTTGTAAAAAGGAACGTGTTTCTTGAAAGGGATGCCTCGAGCATAGTTACAGGTAGAATATTCACATTCAAAGAAGTATTTCTAGTTTATACTAATATATGTTAAGTTTTCAGCCCGGAGTATTTTTTGCTGCTTAAAAGTCTTCGACATCTCAATTGTAAATCATCATCTATTTCTTCTTTGCTTGGGTTACTTGTCCAACAATCTTTGAGCATCAAATTTGTAAGATGATACCAAAGACATATCTTGACGTTGTTTGTAAGACATACCAGAGACAGATCTCTTCTTTGGCCTTCTCTCAGCAAGCACCAAACTTGTGTGCAAAGAAAGAAACACAGACAGAGCGTTTGTGTCTCATCTCTTTCTTATTCAACTCTGTTTATTGGCGGTATAGGCAATAGTGAGGCAACAAACAATGTGGTTGTCGCACTCCTGCAACCTAATTTACTTGTTTGATTGTGTAGCGTATAAAAACAGATGAACAAAATCGATCAATATACAATCTTATTTTTTTTTCTAGCCAAGACAAGTATGAGTTGACAAAACAAAAAAAGACAAGTAAAGTGAATATTTTTGCTTCAGGTTGAGATTGAATATTGTGGAAATGGGAAAGAATCCAAGTCAACCGGGTCAGTATTGGTTAGCTTTTAACGAGTAGAAGCAGCATTAAGATGGTGTACTTGTATGGTTTTATTACAGGAAACATAGATGCTGGTCAACATTATATCCCGGTACTTATGAGATAAAGCACCAAACTTGTGTGCAAGGAAGAAGCAGAGCAGGGTCCATTGGCATTTGTGTCTCATCTCTTAACGTCTTGAGCTCTTTCTTGTTCCAACAATCATCTTTTAGCCATTCAAACAAGATTCTTCCGCCAAGTTTTACAAATCCATTCAAGATTCCAAAAAATGAACACATTCATAACTTTGATAAGAGTAGCAACTACCTTCTTCCACCAGTGGCACCTTTTGCAATCCATTCACCGGATATGAATTAAAGATTCTCAATCACTACTGATCGATGAATATCCTGCTCAAAAGCATCACACATACTCTATCGTTCGTTTTTATCCAAAGCCATTTAGCAATAGAAAAAACATCACTTAAGTTTGAAGCAAGAGACGATCTACAGAGATTCAATCACATAGATGACATCAAAAGAAATACATTCAGGGAAGAACAAAAAACGTTTGTATGAATCTCCTGCTCAAGAACATCATTGAAGCACACTCAACATATGTTTCAACCACACATGCTCCATCACCTCCCAAATACAATAAACCAATCGGTTACGGGTATTTCCGCTTTTCGGGTCTGGGTTAAACTAATGTTGTTTTTGTTTCTCCTAGAAGAAACAGCAAAATAGTGGAACATGAATAGAGAGACTACGCCGGCGCCGGTGGTAAGCAAAATATCTGGGATTCGGGATTTGATCCAACTAAACTTATGGGCTCTCTCAGATTCTTGTCTGCGGAACAGGTCTTGATACTGAAACCCACAGCTGTACTCTGACGTCTCTGAACCAGCAGACGGACGAAGCGAGACCACATTCTCAACAAAACCAGACACAACAGAGATCTCTGTAGCGATGCACCTAGCTTGGTCAGTCTCGGTATCATACCTAAACAATCTTTTTTCATTGTCGTGGAAGAACACATTCCCTCCCTTAGTAACTGCAACAGGCCTGAACCAAACATCCCGCCGTACATAAGAAAAAACTCCACTACCAGCTAATCGAATGGAGTAAGCCAAGCTCCACGTCTCCTCTTGCTCGTCCATGACCCAAACATCAAACTTCCATTCAGGCTTTGTATACGGTATGGCTAACGCTAGACGGTCTTCAAGGTTCACCAGCTGATTTGCTTCCGATCTAGTTGGTGGATACGGGACAAGTCGAAACTCCTCCGTGTGGAGATCCAACGCGAGGACACTGTCACTACACCTCATCTCTATCCAGTAGAGTGAGCCCTTCCTTCTCGGTTCCACTTTGCACGGAGGAGGATTCACTCTCCGCCACTCCCCAACGCTCACATCAAGAATCTCGCAGAGATGGGACGGCTCGAAGCACATCCTCGAAACTTTGTAGCTCCCGTTGACAACGTCCCTACCGAATCCCATCGCCCAAAACCCAGGGAAGTTGACACACCATTTATCTGAGATTGTGAAAATTTGAACGACTCTCTCTCTCTCTCTCATCAACGCATTCAGATAAAAGAGTTAATCAAAATCAAAATGTGTGATTTTGAAAAGTGAAAAGGCTTACCATGGAAAAGAGCGGAACGGTAGCGTTCGTTGACTGGCTCTGGGCCGGAAGGGAAACTAACGGATTCTCCGGTGGCAGGGTTCAGAATGTTGACGGAGCCTGGTACGGGGAGGCAAACCAAACCGTCACATGTAATCGAAGGTCTTGAAGCGGCGTCGTCGCAGTTTATGTAGACCATCTCGATCTCCTCCTCTGCGTCGACTTCGAATGGCGGATTGGAGCGGCGGTTTTCGGTCTACATAAACTGCGACGACTTCGAATGGCGGATTGGAGCGGCGGTTTTCGACGGCGAGGAGTTTCGGCTTCTTCTGCTTCTCAAGTTTCATACGCGTATCCGCGAAGCTCCTAGACTCCAGAATCGACCTCCATTGTTTCGAGACGGCTTTGAATTTGAGGATTGATTTCAGCGGCAGTTCAAGGAAGATGTCTTCGAGTAGATTGGGATGTAGGTAGATCAGATTAGGGTTTTCTTCTACGTCCGCCATGTTTTTGATAGACTACGAGCTCAGGGAAGAGGAAGACACAAAGGAGAAGTGAGCGACTGAAACTAAGAACCCTAAATCCCCAAATCGATTTTAGGTCGAGAAGGAGCGGGAGTGTATGTCGAAAGTGTTATACTTGAAACGGCGTCGTTTCATTTAAATTTTCTTAACACTTCCGCTCAAGGCAAAACGAAGTCACAGCTTACGTGGCAATCTGAGTCAGTAATGAAGAAAATAACAGTTAAGAAAAGCTTAATCTTCATTCCTCGAAGTTGTTAGCCTATTTTCGATTATGAATTTTGATTGCCACTTTCAAAGTCATCATCCTCAGTTGGCCACGTGATGGGAACGTGTCAAAGAATCTAATTCCAAAATTTTATAATGGTTATGCTAAACGAAGTGAGAATCACAAAAACAATACGACAAACACGACGCAGCATCTGACAGATACGCAAGAAAAAGCGAGTGGTTTTTATAGACGTTAGGCTTTTCAATTATTTATCAGTAACTAACTAATTATTCAATTTCGTACTCTTTTTTTCTGTCATGGTTAATACTTATAATGTCTTTAATTGAGTTCGCCACTAAAATTGAACATTGTTTTGTCTCTTTCCTCTGTCGTCATGCCCCTAAATCTACGACTTCTTCCTCTGACCTCACAACAACCATCACAGAAATCTTGAGCACATGTTGATGTTGTCTTTGGTTAGACAGAATTTCGTACAAACAACAAGACAGTAATACTTGTCAAAAACATTTATAATTCTTAATCCAAAATTAGCAATACATGTTTCGTTTTTAAGAGAATAAAAGTAACATAAAACAAATTCTCTCCTACGATTGTTGCATCAGTCACTACTCCATAGACTCTTTTTAATCATCTGAGAGTGATATATTTTCATCTTGGTGTCTTCTCTCCATAAGCACTCAAATAGTATTAGCGGATTTATATAAACTATGTGTTGCCAATAATGAAGTTAACTGTATATATGTAATCACAGTTAATTTTCTTTTTTATTTCAAAATAAAACACAAATATTTTTCTGATTATGAATGAACGGTTCAAAACTTTAAACCATGTGTTAAGACATAACTATTGAAAAAATGCAACTGTTAGTTAGTAACCAAAAGCATTTATAAATAAATATTAATAACACTAGTTAATTATTTATCTTTTCAATTTTATTTTTGAAGAAAATCCGGAAATGATAATCTGTACAAAGTGGATCAAAGCCACCGTGACTATATAAAATCTGTATGTGATAAATAAACTGAATATGTACCACTATATATTATATAGTGGATTGATTATTAATAAAAGAAGAAGAGTGATAGAGTAGAGAGAGAGAGTTATGTACGTGAGGAAGAGATGAGAGATAGTGAAGTTCTATAGAGAGAGAGTTTGGTGTGAAAGAGAGAGAGAGATAAGTTTCTTTCATTGAACTTGTATAACATATAATGTCGAATAAAATATTTATACTAGAAAGTCGGTGAAAAAACTTACTAAAGAAGTAATAATAAATATATAAGGATAATTATCCTTTCTAACACTCCCCTTAATTATCCGATTATTATGTACGGTGTACGTCTCGTTAAAAAACCTATGTCATAGAAAAACCCAATGGGATAAAAACTATGACTTAGGAAAAAGAGTACCGCAGCATAATCTCCCCCTGGAAAAGATATAATCTTTTCTTTTCACAAGTTTTGTAGACGACGCATTCCAATACTGTGAACATGCTTCTTGAACACTGTAGTAGGAAGCGCCTTTGTAAAAAGATCGGCTGCATTGTCACTTGAACGAATATACTCGATGTCCACTTCTTGATTTTTCTGGAGTTCTTGAGTGTATGAGAAAAATCTTGGAGGAATATGCTTCGTTCTGTCACTCTTGATATAACCTTCTTTGAGTTGTGTGACACATGCAGAATTGTCTTCAAATATTTTTGTTGGCTCTTTCTCTGTACTATTCCACTTGATTCTTGTATGTGATGAGTCATAGACCGGAGCCACACACTCTCTACATGCTTCATGGAGAGCAATAGTTTCTGCATAATTTGAAGACGTTGCAACCAAAGTTTGCTTTTGCGAACGCCAGGAGACCGCGGTTCCACCAATTGTGAAAACATAACCTGTTTGTGATCTAGCTTTGTGTGGATCTGATAGATATCCTGCATCAGCAAAACCAACTAAAACACATTTTGAGTTTTTAGGATAAAATAATCCTAAATCAATTGATCCTTGAAGATAACGAAAAATATGTTTTATTCCATTCCAATGTCTGCGCGTAGGGGACGAACTATATCTTGCAAGCAGATTAGTAGCGAATGCTATATCTGGTCTAGTGCAATTTGCAAGATACATTAGTCCACCAATAGCGCTCATGTAAGGTACTTCAGGACCTAACACTTCCTCGTTATCCTCACAAGGACGGAATGGATCCTTTTCAACATCAAGAGATCTATTAACCATTGGAGTACTCAAAGGAGTTGCTTTGTCCATATAAAAGCGTTTTAACACTCTTTTAGTGTAATTTGACTGATGCACAAATATACCATCTTGGAAATGCTCTATCTGGAGCCCAAGACAAAACTTTGTCTTTCCAAGATCTTTCATTTCAAACTCTTCTTTCATATGAGTTCTTGCATCATCAATTTCCTTTTGAGTTCCAATCATGTTCAGGTCATCTACATATACAGCAATAATCACAAATCCTGAAGAGGATTTCTTAATGAATACGCAAGGGCATATCGCATTGTTGACGTAATCTTTACTCAACAAATATTCACTTAAGCGATTATACCACATGCGTCCGGACTGTTTTAGTCCATAAAGTGATCGCTGTAATCTGACCGAACAGATCTCCTTAGCCTTTGATTTCAAATCCTCAGGCATTTTTAATCCTTCTGGGATTTTCATATATATCTCATTTTCAAGAGATCCATATAGATATGCTGTCACAACATCCATGAGATACATTTCAAGATTTTGAGACGCTGCTAAGCTCATCAAAAATCTGAATGTTATGGCATCCATTACTGGGGAATATGTTTCTTCATAATCAATTCCCGGTCTTTGAGAAAAACCTTGAGCCACAAGTCGGGCTTTATATCTTGTGACCTCATTTTTCTCATTTCTTTTTCTTACAAAAACCCATTTGTGCCCGACGGGTTTTGTATTCTCAGGAGTTGTGACAATAGGTCCAAAAACACTTCTTTTATTGAGGGAGAGTAATTCAGCTTGGATGGCCATTTTCCATTTCTCCCAATCAGGTCTTTTCAGACACTCTGATATTGTTTCTGGATCTGGATCATCACTTTCATGATCGATCTCTTTGTATACAGAAAAAGAGAATATTCCATCATCATCTTCTATTTCATTTCTTGTCCATACTTTTCCATTTTGGGCGAAGTTGATGGAAATCTCAAATTTTTCTGTATCATGTTCGTCTTCTGGACGAATCTCTTTCTCTGGTTCTTCAAAAACCATTTTGTTTATGTCTTCTAGGACATATTTCTTTACAAGGTTCTTCTAACCTTTTCTCCCAAATTCTTTTTCTTTCGGGGATTTTTATCTTTAGAGCCCATCGGCCTCCCCCTCTTTAATTGGACTTTGGGTGCATTTGCTATGCTTCCATCATTTTGTTCCTTAGAAACATCTATCTTTGATGGAACGTTTGCAGCGGGTATATATGATTTCGTCACTCTTTTTGTATCTGTGAACGCGTCTGGTAATTGATTTGCCATATTTTGTAAATGTATAATTTTCTGAACTTCCAATTCGCGTTGTTTTGTCGGGGGATCAAAGTGTAACAAATTCGGTGTACACCATGTGAGGTCTTTTGGAACCTCTTTAATTCCTCCCCCTAACGCTGGAAATTCATCTTCATTAAAATGGCAATCGGCAAAACGTGCCGTAAACATATCACCAGTTTGAGGTTCAAGATACCGAATAATACTCGGTGACGTATACCCAACGTATATTCCCAATCTCCTTTGTGGCCCCATTTTTGTTCTTTGTGGCGGTGCTATCGGAACATAAACCGCACAACCAAAAACACGGAGATGGGATACGTTTGGCTCCTGACCAGATGCCAATTGCAATGGGGAATATATATTATAAGCACTTGGTCGTATTTGGAGCAACGCTGCAGCATGCAAAATAGCATGACCCCATATAGAAATTGGGAGTTTTGTTCTCATTATTAACGGTCTTGCAATCAGTTGCAACCGTTTAATCAAAGACTCAGCCATGCCATTTTGTGTATGGACATGTGGAACCGGATGCTCAACATCGATTCCCAATGACATGCAATAGTCATTAAAGGCTGTGAAGTGAATTCACCAGCGTTATCTAATCTCACTTTCTTAATAGTATAATCAGGGAATTGTGCTCTCAACCTGATTATTTGGGCAATGAATCTTGCGAAAGCCGTATTTCGTGTTGTCAAAAGACACACATGTGACCATCTACTTGATGCGTCAATTAATACCATAAAGTATTGAAACGGTCCGCATGGTGGGTGAATAGGCCCACATATATCACCGTGTATTCTCTCTAAGAACACAGGGGATTCATTCCCAACTTTCGCTGGTGATGGCCGAGTTATGAGTTTTCCTTGAGAACATGCATTACATATGAACTCGCCCGTTTCTAAAATTTTCCCGTATTTCAACGGATGGCCATTTGAGTTTTGCACAATTTTTCTCATCATGACTGAACCTGGATGCCCTAGCCTTTCATGCCAGATTTTGAATGTACTAGTAAACTTCGGGTTTACTGTAACATATGATTCAGTCAGAGTAATATTTGTGCAATATAATCCGGAGGACATCATTTTCAATTCTTCCAATATTTGTCCCTCCGATTTGATGCAAAGGATTTCAATGCCATTCTTATTTATAGTCTCTATGTGATATCCATTTTTACGGATATCTTGAAACTAATAAGTTTCTATAAGACTTCGGGGAATATAATGCATCATTTATTTCAAACTTTGTTCC